TTTATTACTATTTCTATTACTTATTGCTGCAATATTTATGTATTCATGTCTATACTATATTTTATTTTTGTATTTTCTTCATTTTACATATTTCTCACATAATATGAGCTCATAAAAATTTCTAAACTACTTTTGTCTGCAACAGACAATTACACGGAAAATCATGGCAGTGTTTGACACACTTAAGTCAAAAAACGCACACCTTTTATATCTGTAATCTATCTTTAATCTGACTGGTGATTCAGATGATCTCTGTTCTCATTTGATCTGTTCTTCATTACCGCTTCATTTCTCTAGATCTGCTTGTGTTATCCGCAGTTTTGAGTCTCGCGTCTGACACACACGTGTGTGTGATGACAGATAAGGCCCAGGATGAATGACGTCTCCTCTAAAGCTCAGGGTTTCAGCACTCGTTCCCGAGCGCGCTTGAGAATAGCCACGTGTGCAGAGATCTGATTGTCATCATCCCGTTATCTACAGCTATTATTCTTAAAATTATTCTTTTTTTGTAAACAGGGTTAAACTAAAAAAAGTAACTTTTTAAAAAAAACTCTTTTTTAAATAAAAATGAATGAAAACTACATGGACATATTTACAAAAACTATTAAAAATGATAAAAACACCACTAAAATACTAAAACGTTACTAAAACTAATATGAAAACATATTTGAAAAAAATTATAATTTTTAAAAAATATATATATAAAAATTATATTTGAATATATTTGGGTAAACGGAAATACATTTTGAAATATTAATAAAAAAAACTATAATAACATCACAATGAAACTAATAACACTTCGTTAAACAAACTCCAAGAATGTTTTAGTGATGCTATTTAAAAAAATAAATAAAATTAAAAGACGAGACAAATTGTCAAATTCCAGATGCAATTCATCTGGTCTCACAGTGAAACATTCACACACACACACACACACACGCACACACACACACACACACACACACACACACACAGAGAGTTTCGCTGAAGACGTGAGGTCGAGACGAGCGCTGACATCATCACCAGCCGCTGATGTCACCGGTGTGTTTACACTCTGTGGTTTGGTCCCGTCGTGTTGTACGAGTCTCTGCGTGTCGACACACACACACACACACACACACCGCAGTATCCTGCAGGAACCACACACACGCGCTGCATGCTGGGACGCGCCGGTCAGGAGTTCGGGAGGTGTTGGCGAGTGAGTTTGGTCAGACAAACGTGTGCACTCGGGCTCTTTCACTAACTGGTGAACACTAGAACTAAATGAAAATAGAAAAAAAAAAGAAATAATACTTGAATAGAATTGAAATAATAGTAAAGTAACAGTTCTTGTGTGACCTGGGTTGTATTTCATGGCAAACTTGCTGTTCCTCATCAACACTTTAATGCAAAACATAAACCGTACAGTCATTCCGACATCATTCATCATCTGGCTTTGCTTCAGGATCCATGTTTTATTAAGAAATACACAATAGTCTAACACTGAAATAGAATACACTGCAGTTTGAGGTCAGTACGATTTTAGAAAACATAATTTCGTTTTATGATCAAAAATACAGTAAAAACAGTGAAATAATATTCCAATTTAAAACATCTGTTTTCTATGTGAATATACAGTAGAAATTAATTTTATTCTTGTGACCAAATCATTCTAAGATGCGGATTCTGCTTTTGTGGAACTGGTGATGCGTGTGTGTGTGTGTGTGTGTGTGTTTGATCTGTGAACGTTAAAAGAACAGCATTGATTTGAAATAGAATCTTTGTAACGTTCTAAACGGCGTGACCGTCAGTGTTCGTTCTGCAGATCTGGGCCTCGACGGCGTGTGTGTGTGTGTGTGTGTGTGTGTGAAGTGATGCCTCTTCTTCCTCTCCTGGTTGAGTTTGCTGAAGATGCAGCAGTTGTTTATGTATTTAATTGAGCTTGCGTGATATTTGGTGGTTAGGTGGGAGACGAGGCCTGAGCTCATGGAGCTGGAATGATAATGGCGTTCGTGCTTCCCCTCGGTCTCTCTCTCTCTCTCTCTCTCTCTCTCTCTCTCCTGTGGTTGATGCGAGAGACCCCAGTCATCTCTTCCAGATGCTCCTAACCCTGCAGAATCACTCTCTCTTCATCTCTCTGCTCGTCTGAGTTTACACACACACACACACACACACACACTCCAGCGCTGGGAGGATTCTTCTCAGTATGACATATTTTGGCTCGCTATTTTTTTTATTTAGAAATTACATATTTTTACGTATTTCACTTTTTGAAATTTATTTAGATTTATATTTACTTAGGAATGTAATTATTTAGGCATTTTAGTCAGTATTGATTGATGGCTATAATATTTAGGCCAAAAATGAATGATGTTTCGCGGATGGATGGGTTTCAACTTCGTACTATTAAAATAAATTAAATAAATTTGATGTCTATCGTATACAGGTGAAACTCAAAATTAGAATATGGTGGAAAAGTTCGTTTATTTCAGTAATTTAACTTAAAAGGTGAAACTAATATATTATATATCATCCAATCCCAATGACGCATATTGCGTCTTAATGTATACAGGAGAAACGCATGTAAACGGGTTATTCCTAATGTTTTAGAAACCCGAATAGTGACCTTAACCTGACCATAACCTGAAAATTGTCTGCATGTAAACGTCGTCTGTGTGTGTGTGTGTGTGTGTTTCTCAGAATTGTCTACGTAACGAGCGTGACTACGAGAGTGTGGTGCTGATGCGACTGAGACAAGCTGAAGAGAGGAAGAGGCTGATCGAGGAGATGAAGAGAGAGGAAGAGGACGAGACGGCATGACCACACACACACACACACTTTGACCTATGATTTTACAGGAATTAAACACCCAAACATCAATAAAGCCCTTTTGGAATGAACATTTTTGCCTTGAATATTCATATGGTTTCGGATCGTGACTTAACAGCAACATTTGTCTTCACGGTGATGAACATGGAGTTAATGTTGAACAATTCTATTTCAAATTTGATTCTGCTGTAAAGCAGCTTTACTGAAGACAATTCAGTTCAATGTTGATTCAGTTCAGTAACTGTGTCAATCAATGTGGAAATTCAGTTCAGATATACAGTGATGTGAATAAGTTTTGGCACCCATGCTAAAGTTGCCTAAAAAGAGGAATAAAAAATCATCTTTTGGATGTTGATCTTAATGCCTTAATTAGAAAAATGAGGAAAACTCCAACCTTTAAGGACACCAATTTTCTTTGTGAATGAATAATGTATCATAAATAAATAAATGTTTTTCCTTAAAATACAGGGAGCATAAGTCAGGACACCCCTATGTTAAATTCCCATAGAGTCAGACAGATTTTTATTTTTAAAAGCCAGTTATTTCATGGATCCAGGATAATATGCATCCTGATAAAGTTCCCTTGGCCTTTGGGATTAAAATATCCCCACATCATCATCACACACCTTCCACCACACCTAGAGATTGGCATGGGGTACTTTCCATAAGATCATCTTTCAATGCAAATCAAACCAGCTATAAGGCTAACTGAAGTAAAACCATGCCAATCTCTAGGTGTGGTGGAAGGTGTGTGATGATGATGTGGGGATATTTTAATCCCAAAGGCCAAGGGAACTTTATCAGGATGCATATTATCCTGGATCCATGAAATAACTGGCTTTTAAAAATAAAAATCTGCCTGACTCTATGGGAATTTAACATAGGAACATATGCACCCTGTATTTTAAGGAAAAACATTTATTTATTTATGATACATTATTCATTCACAAAGAAAATTGGTGTCCTTAAAGGTTGGAGTTTTCCTCATTTTTCTAATTAAGGCATTAAGATCAATATCCAAAAGATGATTTTTTATTCCTCTTTTTAGGCAACTTTAGCATGGGGGTCAAAACTTATTCACACCACTGTAAGCAGCTCTACAGAAGACTTCTTTATATTATACAGTTATTATCTGTCATTCAAAGTATTCTGATACAACGAGAAAATTATGAAATATGGACGTGAAAACGGTTAAATACTGGGAGTGTACAATAAAGTACAATAAACTGTCTGCCATTGTTTGGACAAACAAATATTATTTTATAATATTTTGCTTTTGATGTGAGATTGTGCGGTCTTTCTTTAAAATATATATATTTTTTAAGTCAATTTCAGTGACATTCAGTCATTTTAATGTGATTTACTGACTCGAGTCTGTGTGTAGTAGCTGGTGTGATCGTAACTGATGTATCTGAGATGTGCAGAAGACTTGGCATCATCAGTCAGTCATTAGTCACATGACGTTTACGGTGCAGGTGATTGGCTCAGAACTTCAACGAGGGCAGCAAGACTTCCAAAGCTGTGAGTATAACAGCCAAAAGGAAATTAAACAGTGCATTTTTTTCATTTGCACCAATTAATCATTTACAAGATCAGACAGAAGTGAATGGCAGTCTGATTGTCGTGCTGTGTTTGTGCTTCTGGTTGCGTTTTGCATGTTCTGTCCATCAAACCGCAGAGATCCGACTTTTCTAAGAACACTTTCCTTTCCTTCTGCCGCTTCTATCCATCATCCGTTTGGTCTCCTCGCGGCCGTCACATGTTTCTGTTTACTTATGTGGGCTTTTCTCTTATATTCCTGGAAAGAAGAGGAACACAACACAGGAAATACAATTACAGGCGTCCTCAGGAGAACCGAGCAGGAACCGCAGTCTTCAGCCCGATCAAGAGGTGGAAAAAACATGCAAATCATGCACAAACTCATTTTTTTTGCGTTTTGTATTTTTGCATTGAAATGCAAGTGAATTTGATATTTAAAAATGTACATTTTAATGTAATATTGTTGGATATAATGCATTATTTACTCCCAACATCTCTTCTAAAAGAGCAGTTTTTTTGTGGTGTAAAAAACAACAAAGATAAATCATATCAGAACTTTTGCACATTTAATTAAAAATGCATTGCCACTGAAAACTAAAGGTACATGTTTCAGAAAAAAGATCAAAATGTTAGAAGAATAAGTGAGAAACATCAGCACTTTACAACAGATACTTTATTTATAATTAGAGTCTCATACATGTCAAGATTACAAACACAAAATATAGCATTTACATATTCTGTAAGCATATTTAATAATGTTCAAAACTACATATCACAAAGAATGTGGGGTTTAAATAATAATTTTGAGCTGATAAAAACGAATATTTAATTGCAAAGCATTTATTTAAAGACAGATTTGCACATATAATAATGATGTTCCCACAATCAACTTAATGATTTATATTACTACAAACGCAAAAATAATTTTCCATACATATAAAAGTGTCATTCTGATGGTATTGATAATATTGCTAGTTCATTCACAGATTTCAAATACTTTACATTTCTTTAGATGCTTTCATCAGACGTGTAGCTTTCTCTCTCTCGTGTAAAGGTTGATGTTGTGATGATGGTGGAGTCACAGCGCGTCACTGTTCTCTTTATGAAGACACCAGACTATAGTCTGTCCGACGCCCGTCATGCTGACCACTCTGAATCCAATCTTGTCCAGTTTGTCTAAGACGAGTCTCGGCGGCTCGGCCACATGATACTCGGAGCTGTGAGACACACACATCAACATGAGGACGGCTCAGCTCAACATCACACACACTCTGAGTCTGGGCTTCAGTCTGAGGAGATGTGTATCTGTGTGTCCACGGGGATTTATAACCTCATGCACTGAAACATGTCTGAGAAATAACTGGACACTTACAAGATGTTTGGCAGACAGACGGATGGATAGATAGAGTGACAGACAGATGGATACATAGATAGACAGGGATAGATAGATTGATAGACAGAGAGACAGATAGATTGATAGATAGATAGATAGATAGATAGATAGATAGATAGATAGATAGATAGATAGATAGATAGATAGATAGATAGATAGATAGATAGATAGATAGACAGACAAGACAGACAGGTAGGTAGATAGATAGATAGAGAGACAGACAGATGAATAGACAGATGGATAGATAGACAGATAGATGGATAGATAGATGGATAGACAGACAGATGGATAGATAGATAGATAGAGAGACAGATAGATAGATAGATAGATAGATAGATAGATAGATAGATAGATAGATAGATAGATAGAGAGACAGACAGGTAGATAGATAAAGAGACAGATAGGTAGGTAGATAGATAGATAGACAGACAGATAGGTAGATAGACAGACAGATAGACAGACAGATAAATAGATAGACAGACAGACAGATAGGTAGATAGATAGATAGACAGACAGACAGATAGGTAGATAGATAGATAGATAGATAGATAGATAGATAGATAGATAGATAGATAGATAGACAGACAGATAGATAGACAGACAGATAGGTAGATAGACAGATAGATAGATAGACAGACAGACAGAAAGGTAGATAGATAGACAGACAGACAGATAGATAGATAGATAGACAGACAGATAGATAGACAGACAGATAGGTAGATAGACAGATAGATAGATAGACAGACAGACAGAAAGGTAGATAGACAGACAGACAGACAGACAGATAGATAGATAGATAGATACATAGATAGATAGATAGACAGACAGATAGACAGACAGAAAGGTTGATAGATAGATAGATAGATAGATAGATAGATAGATAGATAGACAGACAGACAGACACTCACAAGTTGTTTCCCAGTATGGTGGTTTTTCGGGCTCCGAGATACTCCATGATGGATGGATCCGAATATTCGTCTCCGACTGTTGTGGGCCCCGTCTCCTGAAACACACACACACACACACACCATCATCATCATCATCGTCAGAGAAGAGAAGAGCAGCTGCAAGTTATTCTGATTCAAGATTATGAGAGACAAGAATGAGAAATCCTTTAGAATCGACACTGCAATATTCCATAAAAACAGGAATTTCCCGCTCTACTTTCTACACTGTTATCAACGCTAATGTCTTTGTCATTTTTTTTTCTTGTAAAATGTGTTCATCTTTACAAATTACATTAAAAAGTTGCGTGTTTGTATGCTTTGTTTCTGTCTGTTGATGATTCACTTTCATTTTTAAAGTTTCAGCCGTTCATGACAGGTCAGGTGCACGAGCTGCACGTGCACGTAATGCAACATTAAACTTTTTCATTTGAATATGATTCAGAACGACACGAATCATGAGAGGAATAAAACCTCGTACACGCTTCACAGATATCATGGCAAAGCTTCTCTTACATGAAGGTAACAACAGATCCAGTGCAGAAACAGACGTGCACCTGTAATCCTGTAATATCATAATCATAATCACAGCTGTCACTCAGAATGTGTGTCGCGCGCTGCTCGTGTTTATACGCACCAGTCTGATCTGTGTGCTGATGAGGATGTACGGCATCTCGGCGTCAGATAGGGACACTTTCCAGCGGAATATCGAGTGTCTCCTCGCGTCGTCGCGTCGCGTCGCGTCTCAGCGTCTTCGTGCGTTCTCAGCTCGGCTCGTGCGCGCGCTCGCAGAAACACCCATCGCTCTCGTCCAATCAGCGTTCGTCCACCAAATCAGAACGCGCTCCGGAGAGATAGACACTCCAGATGACATTATTGTCACCTTAAATATTTACTAAATTATCAATAATATTTTTAATGTTCTAGATAATTTTGTAATAGATAGACAGACAGATATAGAAGGAAAATTTAATTTGGTTTATAAATCTTCTGCCTTGACGAATATACCTGATCAGACAAAAACAAAAGAATGTGTTGCATATTTCATTTGTGCGTATAAATGTGATATTAGATGTCATTCTGTGATGTTGGAGTTTTGTAAAGATCTGAACACACACACACTCTCTCTCTCTCTCTCTCTCTCTCTCTCTCTCTCTCTCTCTCTCTCTCTCTCTCTCTCTCACATACACACAGTCACATACACACACATTCTCTCACTGTTTCATACACACGCTGAGCTTGTTAACTGCAAGTTTTTTTTCTCCGTATTACAGTATTTTTAAGGCTTATTTCTTTGATTTCTTTTCAACGCTGGTGGTTGGACTTTTCATTTCCTTTCGGCAGAATTGCTAATTTCCTTCTAAAAGCAGTTCTAATCACAGTAATATGATGTTCAAGTCTCTGAGAGCGCTGAGGAAATGAAGCGATCCCATCTCGATAACATCAGTAATAAAGCACACAGTCTTCAACACATAGATCACAAAACCATTTACATCTGCTCTGATCAGTGTGAGCAACACGATACTGGAACACACTAATACTGAAACAGCGCTCACACTCGCAGAATTAGCAGATAGTGGAATAGAACAAGTTATTTATTTTGCTTGTCGTGTTAAAGCTGACATATCATGCCCCTTTTCACAAGATGTAATATTAATCTATGGTGTCCCCAGAATGTGTGTGTGAAGTTTCAGCTTATTAAAGTTATTATAGCTTGTCAAATTTGCTCCTAACAGTGTAACAGCGCAGCGCTTCTGTGTCGTACGTCACACGCATCACACACATGACCAGCGTCGGCCAATAGTGAGCCTCCGTTCTGACGTACACTACGTGAATTCACTCGAGGCCCACAGAGAAGAACACAAATAGTTGAATAAAGTCGTTATTTTTGTTTTTTTTAAAGGAAGTTGTTTTTCGTGAACGGTTCTTAAAAGAAGCTTTTGTGTTTTTAGTGTGAAAACGGAACCTTTTGTGGAATGAAAATATTCCATGGATGTAAAGGTGAGAGCCGAAGTTACGACGTCACTCTGTAGGCCAAAACGCGGAAGTGAGTTAGCATTTTAGCACTACCGGTTCCCTCGCTCTATGGGATTTTTGAATGGGTTTTTGCTAAATCGCCTGAAATAAGGTCTGTGGTGAACAAAGCCTCTAAATATTTTCACGTTTTGATCTCTGACACAGAACACATTTATAACCTGCTTGTGTTTTTTTTTTTTTACTTTATTGTGTCTGATTGTGTTTTTTAAAATCTTTATATAGGCTTCAAAATGTATAAATTGTGGATTAACTTGTAAAGATTATCTTGATAGACAAAACGTGCAAGGGTCACAACCCTTTGTTACACACAGATCTTATTTTTGCGATTTTCCAAAAGTCTATGGGGAAAATGCATTGCTTTTCGACCGAGAGAAACCCATGCGCCGCTAGCTTCCCAGTTGTCCTACAAAGTGACGTCATCACTTCGGCATTTTTTAAGACACTCTTGACAAATCATGTTTTGTAACCACACTCAAAACAGGTTCCACATAACTGGGTTATGTTCATGTAACTTGGAATTAAGGCATTATGGAATTAAGTATACTTTTAAGCGATGAACACTGAAGCAGTGTTAAGGTTGATGATGTAATTAAGTGAATAATTGAGGGATGATTGATCATTATTGAAGAAGACACCTGAAGTCACCATTATGGTGATCATTGTGTGTTTTAGTTGGGCTACTTCAGTGTTCATTTAACACTCTGCTCAGAGCTTAATTGGGTCGCTTAAAATGACTTCAAGATCCATGATGTTGAAGCTACATGAACATATTATGTTTGTTTATTTATGTTATTTTAATTTATTCTATGTAAAGCACTTTGAATTGCCATTGTGTATGAAATGTGCCATATAAATAAACTTGCATTGCCTTGTTTAACGTAACCCAGTTATGTGGAACCTGTTGACATAAAAAAAGTGAATTCATGTAACCTGTTAACATAAAAAAGTTAATGAAAGCCAACATATAATTTTTGAGTGCAGTGTATGCCCCTTTATGATTAGAGTTGATCTGTCAAATATAACAAAATATAAGAAAGATGAACTCGAGTGTCTGGAAGAACATTAGAACATTTCTTGTTGGGTTTTTTGTGGATTATTCTCTAAATAGATCTTGTAAAAATAGATTTAAACTTCATTTCTTTTAAGCAAAGAAAACAGGAAACCACAGAGCGTGAATCTTTAGAGTCCAAAACTCTTTTTTTGTGATTGTCGTGATGCCAGAACATGTTCCTGGAGTTCGCCCAACTTCCTGTGTTCCTGCGGTGACTTCCTGTCCGCATCTCTGGGTTATTTTATAAAGTGAGGGTCACGATCGCTGTGGTTCAGGTGATGGACTGGTTTCCTCGGACGCTTTAGAGGTCGTTTCCGGACTTTCACACTGCCGCTTCTTTTCTTTGGGATTTATTTTTAACACGCGTTTATTTTTATTGAATGCTGACAACATTTGTCATCAGAACTGGATGATGCCCTATAAATAAATCCAGAACCGTCCGGATGCCTTCGATGAATGTTAAACCTCGTTGTTGGCTTGTTTTGTTGTTGTTAATTTACTAAATAAATGATATTCTCTAGCCTGACTTCGTCATACTCATATTCAAGAAAGAACTTTTCCCGAACTTTTCCCGTCTCATATTCAAGAAAGAATTTTTTCCCGTCCAAAAAAATGTTGTGGGCGGAGTTCGGGCTGGCATCCAGGCTATTTTCTGATGTATTTTGAGATTATTGGCTGAGAATCATCTGAATGTCAGCTTTCTGTTTGAATTGTTCTCTCCTGAATTGAGAGGAAACCCTGTTTCACACATTCTGAGGACGGAAAAGAGTCGTTTATACTTGCGTTGACGGATTTATAAAAGAAACACCCGTAGGATTAAATTATTAATAGTTTTTGCTAGAGCACTTAGTTTCAGCATGCCTTTTTATGTGCACGACGCTATTGTAAAGCTGTAAGTAAAACAACGATTATTGGAGTAAACACTGACTGTACTTTAAAATTTCGCTCTTAGATAACCATTGAAACAATGTTGAGTCACTCAGTGTTGGTGTGTCAACGTTGATTACATTGAAATGACTTTAGAAAGTGATGTTGATTTTGCATCACACTCTTGCACGAGTTAATATTGGATTAATGTTCAGATTTCGCCCACAAATCAATGGTGTTAATATTGCTTCAACATTACAAAGTGATATTGTTCCAACGTCACTTTTGCACCCTCAGTTAATGTTGAAACTATGTTGAACAAAAAAGTAATGCAATTCAATGGTAATGCTTTTGAATCATACTACTCCTACGGTGGCCGAGAGGTGCAAAACAAATCACAATTATGAAAACAAAAAAACAAGTCAGAAAACACAACGACAATTCAGAAAACAAAATAACAATTCAGAAAACACAACAACAAATCTGAAAACAAATTAACAAATCAGAAAACACAAAAACAAATCTGAAAACATGATGCTGAATCATACGGAGGCGTAGGCCTATTGCATTCACTTGAAGAAAAAAAAATCTACTCTGTTTTTCTGAATTAATGAGTTAATTTTTCATGAGAAAAAAAGTTTTTGCTCTGTTTTTCTGAATTAACGAGTTAATTTGTCATGGATTTATTTTTTTTGCTCTGTTTTTTTTTAATTAACGAGTTAATTTTTCATGAGAAAAAAAATATTTTGCTCTGTTTTTCTGAATTAACGAGTTCATTCAGAAGATAAGGAACTCCCGCACACTATATCATTACTTGCACTTTTCAATCAAGTTTATTCGCACACAACGTTTCGGTCACACGACCTTCGTCAGGAGCACGAAAAACAGAGCAAAAACTTTTTTTCTCACGAAAAATTAACTCATTAATTCAGAAAAACAGAGCCAAAAAATTTTTTCTTATGAAAAATTAACTCATTAATTCAGAAAAAACAGAGAAAAACTTTTTTTCTCATGAAAAATTAACTCATTAACTCAGAAAAACAGAGCAAAAAAAAATTCTCATGAAAAATTAACTTGTTAATTCAGAAAAACAGAGCAAAAAAATTTTTTCTCATGAAATATTAACTCATTAATTCAGAAAAACAGAGAACAAATTTTTTTCTCATGAAAAATTAACTCATTAATTCAGAAAAACAGAGTTGATTTTTTTTCTTCAAGTGAATGCAATACGCCTCCGTAGTATCAATATTGAAATGAACAAAAAAATAATAAATGGTAATATTGTTGAATCAACGTTATGATGTTGAATCTACATCACTGGTGCTGAATCAGCTCTTAAATTAACAAGAATCATTTTTGGTAATATGGTTTGACTTTGATCAATGTTAATGTGATGTTGATTCTTGAAAAGGAATGTCAAACAATGTTGACATCTGATGCACCAAGTTAATGTTGAAACATCAACATTTCAAAATCACTTCAAAGGTGCGTCAACAAATTCCTGACCATTTCAAAATTTGGCGAAAACCTTTTAAAATATAAATTCCAGCAGTTCCAGAAATGTTAAATTGTTGTGATGAACTTTTCCCAGTGTAGATATGTTCAACTCTCTTTATATTAGATCTGAATCTATGAAAGCGTCGTCTGTGTAACGTGAGGAAATGCACTTGAAGTGGATCATTTATCTTGTTTTAAAACGATCTCGGGGCTTATGGGATAGGAACCGGAAGCCTGCCGTCTGAACACGTGTCCTGGCGTGTATCTCGAGTCTCTCGTACAGATAAGACGCCGTTGGCTTAAGTGACAGTGATGTAATTGTAGGCTACTACCGCTTTGAG